CGCTGGTTTATTGTTTATTTGTGAACGTGCACGAACAGGTAGATTCCTTTTATTTATTTATTTATTTATTTATTTATGAGTGTCCACGACTCATTTTTTTTTTTTTTTTTCCCGCTTATTTTCTTGTTTATTTATTTTTGAGTGCGTGAGAACAACGCCATCCACCTTCCTGGCGCGCCAAGCTCCCGAGTCGCGGTTCCTTTGCGTTGTCCCTGCCTGCGGGGTTAACGCGCTGTTTTCTGTTCGCCCCAGACCTGAGCAGCTTCGCGGCCCGCAGCAGCACGTGCGGGGAGCTGCGCGCCGCCCACGCCGGCCGGGCCGTCACGCTGTGCGGCTGGATCCAGCACCAGAGGTGAGCGCAGCCCGGGACACGCGGCATCACCGCGTTCGCTTCAGCCTCTGGCCCTGCTTCTCTTCGATTCAGGCACTTTTTGTGGTTTAAAGTGCCTTTGTCTCCCACTCCGTTCGCTTCTGAGATGTCTCTCAGAGATGCAATCAAGACTCATGGCAGATGAACCAGATGAACCTCCAGCAGGTCGAGGGAGGGGATCCTGCCCCTCTGCTCAGCCCTGGTGAGGCCACATCTGGAGTATTGTGTCCAGTTCTGGGCTCCACAGGACAAGAGGGATGTGGAGCTGCTGGAGAGAGTCCAGCGCAGGGCCACAAGGATGATCAGGGACCTGGAAAATCTGCCCTACGAGGAGAGGCTGAGGGAGCTGGGCCTGTTCAGCTGGAGAAGAGAAGGCTGAGAGGGGACCTGAGCAGTGTCTAGAAGTGCCTCAAGGGAGGCAGTGAGGAGGATGGTGCTGGTCTCTTTCCAGTGGTGGCCACTGATAGAACTGGAGGTAATGGCCACAACCTGAAGCACCAAAGGTTCCACGTGAACTTAAGGAAAAATTTCTTAACATGGTGCCAGAGCACTGGAACAGGCTGCCCAGAGAGGTTGTGGAGTCTCCTTCTCTGGAGATCTTCAAACCCGCTTGGACGCAGCCCTGTGCCACGTGCTCTGGGTGACCCTGCGTGTGCAGGGGGGTTGGACTAGATGACCTCTAGAGGTCCCTTCCAACCTTAAGCATTCAATGATTCTATGATTCTATGAATGCTTAAAATCTTGGGGTATTACACAAATGTTAACTGATTCTCGTCCACCCCGTCAAGCACTTAAATGTTGCTCCCCCCATGCTGTGGGGAGGAAATGCTGTCACGTTTAGAGCAGTTCTTGAGCAGCTGTGAGCAATTAATTTCTTTGATCCCGTCTCTTTCAAACCATACTCCTCTAGGACTTAAACAAAGATGTTCCTTGTTTTTTTTTTTTTTCACCCAATTCGTATCAAAAGCAGGCATATAATGTTTAGAAAGAGAATGCAAAAGAAGAAAGTAGTACATAGCGGATGAAATATTAATTGCAACACTTTGCAGTAGGTGGCATCATGTAATCCCTCGGAACAGTTTTTACACTTTCATAAATCCAGAGTAAAGAGAGTCTCTACATATAGCATGGGTAATGCTCATTTAAGTGTTTTGATCCTGGATATATGCTTGTAAACTGGAAGTAGGTCCTGTGGTTTTGGTGACAATAATTTGCATCAAAGTTTGCATCTTGTGTTTTGCAGCCCTGGGAATCTGTTCTTTATCCACCAGGCTTCTATACAGTGGTGCCTGCACAGGTTTTATTAGCTGATCTGAGCCTTTCATCATGGAACAGCTGTGGGTGGAGTTACAGGGAACAGATTTATGGTTATCACCGTGAGATTATTGTGTAATACAGGAATATCTGGAAATTTCATGGATTCGGATTCCCTGTTTACATGGATTAGTGTTCAGATTTAAAACGCTGCCCCTCTGCGTTATTTGCACAGTGTTGGTACTTGTTTCAACAAAATCTGAAACCAACCATTCAGATTAGATTCAAATTGGGAAAAGTAAGATAATAATAATAATAAAAACTCTGTGCATATGCTGCTTTGGAAATGCTTTAAGGTATTAGTCCAAGATATGGAAAGTAGCCTGTTGTTGGGTACTTTGTCTTAAAAAACAGAGAATGGCTGAATCCTCAGAAAGACATTTTTTCTTTTGTTTTTCCTCATGGATCAGACAGGGCCTCTTTCTGGTTTTGAGGGATTTCCAGGGACTGACGCAGATCATCATTCCCCAGGATGAGGTAGGTGCTACCAAAAGATGAGTGCCAATTTTTAACCATTTTTTTCTGCTGTGCTAAGCTGTGTTCAGGAGGCCTCAAGAGCAGAATGAGGAGCATGGCTGGACCGAGGGCTCTGAGGCACAAGCAGACACTTCTGCGTGGTGATGAGAGCCCTGATGTGACATTGCATTAGAAATATTGATACTGTTTCCTTTGCTTTATGAGGAATGAACACTGATTCAGAGAGGCCATTAGGAAATGAGGCCCTTGAGCATGATGCTTCTGCTGTGTTCTGTGAATTTCTCTGAGATTTTAGCATCTTCTTTCAGGCACATTCTCACGTGAAGAAGCTCTTGTCTAGTGCTCCAGTGGAGTCTGTTGTGCGAGTGACGGGGATTGTGGCCCTTCGACCCCCAGGGCAGGAGAATCCGGTGAGGGTTTGGGGCTGTCTCGGGTATTTTGGCCAAGTGTGGCTTTGCTCGTGGAAAAACACAGTGTGAGGGATTATGTGGCTTGTGTGGGTGGCACAGCTTTGCCACGGCAGTTTTGTTCCAAGGTGTGTGAAAGCCCATCCTCAAATGGTGCGCAGCAGCAATAACTGCTGTAACATGTAACTTGGGAGAATCTCAAGCACATTACAGCATTCTTGCTCAGACCAGATCTTGCTGGCTTCATGTTATCGAAAACAGAGGGTAAATACTTACCTATTTTTTTGAAATATTATATATTCCTGAGCTCTTACTGTCACTAGCCAAATTGTGCACATCTGATCATTAGCAGAACTGGAAAGAGTACCCTGGATTTATGGCCATAAATTTGCACTGCTATGAATAGCCACCAAGGATGCTAACTTCAAGGCTCGCTTATTTCTTTTAGCGTGTTATTTTTGTTTTGGAAGCTTGTATGTAATTTCTTATAAACAGAAATAATTATGCATCATTGAATGAACTTCACTGTGGCATAGTGTGAAGTGGGGGAAACTCTCTGCTGTCCTCAGTTTTTAAGAAAAAGAGATCTGGTTTTCAGATTTGGTGTCATAAAGGCATTGTTCTTCTTAAAATGTTGCCTTTTTCCCTTTTATTAAAGACTGCTTGAGATACTGCTAATATGCTAGCTTTTGTACTGTGCAGTTCCATTGAACCTAAGGAAACTCTTTTGCCCAAATGCCTATGTATTAACAGGCTCTGGGCCTGACTTCCTCTGTGCTCAGTGTGCCTTGCAAGGCAAGGGCAAAGTAAAAGCAATTTTATTTCATCTAGTGATGGGAATGGTGTTAGAAACGAACACTCCACCTGCAGTGCAATGACTTGCCTTTTGTCTGAACAAAAGAAAAAAATAGGGGAAATCTGTCCATGAAAGAAGTTCTCTGAACAGTGCTGTATTAGAGGGCAAGGAGGATAATTGCATGGATTTCTCCTTTTTCCTGCAAATATTTGAAGGCTTTGTGCCCAATAATTTTCCCTAAGCCTTGAATCTAATTTATTTCACCTTTTTTTTCCCTCTGCAGAAAATGCCAACAGGGGACATTGAAGTGAAGGTGGAGACTGCAGAGGTCCTAAACACCTGCAAAAAGCTACCTTTTGAAATCAAGGATTTTGTCAAGGTTGCTGCATTTTTCTCATTAGCGAAACAGTGGCTTTTCTGTAAGTTTAGAATTTGCCTGGGGAGGCAGCAAACCGTGTGAGAGAGCTTCACCCCGTTCCCCCCAGCCCTGCCTCAGAGAAAGAGTGGTATTTTACCATAGCATGTGCTGCTTGTTAGCTCTCAGGGTGTATTTCTAGTTAGAGTGAAGTAGAAACCAAGGCTTGAATGATTCCAGTGCACAGGGTTTTTAAAATATCATTGTAAGAACGGGTGGTAAAGAAAAGAGTGCAAAGAGTAAAGAAAAGGGTGGAAGAAACATAGAATGTTCTGTTCTATAGCATAGTCTATCTGAGAGTGTGGAGGAAAAAAACATGCCAGTGCACTTATTTATTTATTTATTTATTTATTGGTTAAAGCAAGGGCATTTAATTATGTTTGGAATCAGTGTTAAATGGTAATGAGAAGATCATTAATTAAAAATACTACATATAGAGATGTTGCCGTTAGGGGGATGGGGTCTTGTGTCCTTGACAATTCCCAGCACCTGCAGTTCTTTAGTTACTCCTGTGTGCTATAAGGATATGTCATCATTGGGTCATTCCTTTAGATCTGAGCATGGTGCTACTCCTTATTCTTGAGGAGGATTCCTGCACTCAGTTCAGTGGACTGAGAGTAAGGAGAGCTGAAATCCAGAGCTGTTTTGAGGCAGTTCTAGCCACAGAATTGTTTTCTTCAGAGACTTCAAAGAAATCTTTTGCCCTTCTTTAAAATATTTGCATCAATATGTTCTCAGTGGCTGATGTTTCTTCATGTCGGCTGTGGGTGATGGCTGGATCATGGTATAAAAGCTAAAAAAAAAAAAAAAAAAAAAAAAAAGAAAGCTTTTTTTTTTTTGCTGCTTTTCTCCTATGGCTTTAGGAGCAGCCTCGTTAGCCATGCAGTTTGAATTTTGTCTCTTAATCCTAATTGCTTCTTATCTCTAGAAATCAGAGGCCTTGCGCATGCAGTATCGCTACTTGGACTTGCGCAGCGTTCAGCTGCAGTACAACCTCAGGCTGAGATCACAGATAGTGATGAAGATGCGGGAATACCTCTGTCACCTCCATGGTAAGAGAAGCCCCTGAAGACCAGTGTGCAGCAAACAACATTTTTGCCCTCCTTTCTTCTCTTCCCTGTTGCTGGAAACTGCTGCTGCAAACTGGTCCCACTTAGTAGGAATGTGTTTGCTCTGGGGACTTGAGAGGGATGTTAGCAGACCTGAAGGACAGTGTGTTGAGATCCCAGAGCACTCCACAGGCCAGTTGTTTTAAATGAGAAATATCTAGAAGCAAAGGCTTTTTGCAGGTGTTTTCCCTCTTCTGGTCATCCAACTCAAGGCATGTTAAGGAGGGTTTGTGCTAATCTTAAAAAGTTTTTTTTTTTTTTTTTTTTTTGGTTAACCTGCAGCCTAGTTTAATTAATTTTCTCAGCCCACGTGGAGTGCACTGCTGTCAAGAATTCTGGCATGTCTTGGGGTGAGCTTAGACCCTTTACGTCTGTCACTGCACAAGATATGCTTAGTAACAGATAAGTTTCTTGGGGAAATGTGGTGTGCCTCTGAAGAGGAGAAGATAAATTACTTCTTGATCTGACTAACCCCACTAACCCACTCCTCTTGTGGTACTAGTTCTCAGCGCTCAGCGTACCCTGTCTGAAGCATGTGTTTGTTCCTCAGGGTTTGTGGATGTAGAAACTCCAACACTCTTCAAGAGAACCCCAGGGGTATGTATGCTATCAGAAATAAATGCCTTTTAGACACCTGCAGTTGTACAGGCACCTAATTATTGAAGTGTCTTTGTTTCCCACAATGTTTTCATTGCTGCATTCCTACTAATTAAGAGCTCACTTGCAATTGCCAACTGGTATGTTGATGCTTTTGAAAGTAGAGAGGGTGAATGGGGCAAGGTTGCATCTTCTTTCTCAACTTTGAATCCTTTCATACCACAAAAGAATAGAGTTTCTGTCTTGTAAAGTGCAAACTGAGCGTGAGCCAAACACTGAGAGCCAGGTAAAGGCCAATTTTTTCTTTTAAACACTGTTTCCTTAGGATTTATCTCTTAACTGTTAGGCCAGCCTAGAGTGGAGGGAAAGGCTGTGGTGTGACCTCATGTTATCAAACACAGAAGAATGGGAGGGGAAAAAATGTCATAAAATGCTCCATTTGGAGCAATAGTATCAATTGCCAGATGAGGTGATTGTAGGAAATAGCTCTTCTAGTTCAGATGTTCACTGAATTTCTTGCTTTAAAATACATTTCTTGATGAACTTGATGCTTTTGTCATTCTGCACTTACTTACACAATTCTGAGCAAGAAAAGGTAGAACAAGAGAAAGAGTTCACTCTTAAAGAGCTGGGGGCCAAGGGAAAATGGCCTAAAATCCAGTCAATTTCATAAAGTAGCAGATCTTTTGTACTGGGTCTACTCAGGTCTCTAGGACTGTAAGAAGAGCTGTTATTTTAACAACTGCTGACAGTCATCTGATCATTTGTTAAATTTTAAGGTTTTTTTCTCCTCTTTCTGATGCCAGGGGGCAAAAGAATTTCTTGTGCCCTCGAGGGAACCAGGGAAATTCTACTCTCTGCCACAGAGTCCTCAGCAGTTCAAGCAGCTCCTCATGGTTGGAGGCCTGGACAGGTAAGGGTTTTGTGGGATTCCCCAAGAACTTGTCAAATGTTTTCTCATTCAAAGTGGGTTCCTTAAACACTTTGCAGCCAAGTCAGGCCCTTTAGCAATAATGCTTCCTGATAAGAGGAATTATATCCCCTTTTTTTTTTTTTAATGGCTGAAATTTTGACTGTTTTAAATGAAAAACTTATCTTAGCCAGAAATGTAGGATGAAGACTTCAGGGGCAGGATGCCTGCAGGGCAGAAAATCAAATGAAATCAGGAAATCAAAGAAAATCAGCAGTAACTTACAGAGCTAACAGGTGACCTTAGTGCAGCTGGCTGTGATCAGGACAGGGAAAGCCTGTAGCTGAGGTGCATAAGAGAAGCATCTAGTTGGGCTTATTTCCCCAAATAAAATTGAAACTGGCCAGAGTTCGTGCAGTGAACTGCAGTCTGGGTGCAGACCATGAGTAGTGAGTTCTGTTTGGTCCTTAGTGAGTAGTTTTGGTCCTTCTGGAGCATAAATTGGGAAAGGGGGTTGTCCATGCACAGCTCGTTTGCTAGGCGAGGGTATCCTTGGAGGATATGGTTGGAGATGGATACAGTTGCTGCCACTGTAGCTTTCCTGCTTTTTGGGGCATGGGAATGATCAGGACTGTGACAGCTCGTGTGTTCTTGCTTCTCTGCTGTTCTTGATAATGAGTTTTATAAGCACAGTTGAATTTAGGCTACTTCAAATTCCTATCTGAATAAAAGTGCTATTGCAGGTACTTCCAGGTTGCTCGCTGCTATCGGGATGAAGGTTCCAGGCCTGACAGACAGCCTGAATTCACTCAGGTAAGCAGCTTACCCCTTGCCCCTCACCCCTAACAACCTGTAGTTGTTTTGCCTTCTGAGGGGTCCGTTTTGGTTAGCTCTGATGCTGCTTGGAGGAGCAAATGTTGCTGCTGTGTGTTTCACAGCACAGCCATGAGAGAGGTTTCTCTCCTTGGCTGACTGTGCAGTCCCATGTGCCCATGAGTGGCTGCAGGGACTGTGTTGGGCACTGACTGTGCTTGATGATGTGAATCTGTGCCTGTCCCGCTGAGCTGGGCTTCCCATTCCTCAGTCTGGAGATGGCAGACGGAGTGAGCTCAGCCTGTTCAAGGCTCTTCCCGCTGTCCTTGTCATCGTTGCCTCACCGAGGGCTCCAAGGAGGTTGTTGCCAGCGTCACGAGGCTGTGGGGAGATCACAAACACACCCGCAGTATGAAACAGTCGTGCTCTGATTCAGTGTGGCGTGTTGTTTCCTTTTATGTTTGCTCTGTAATCGAGTTCCTGCAAGCAGCTGCGCAGAGGCAAAAACTCTTAACTAATGTGGAATGCCCCCCTTGTTTTTGTTTTCTAAGATAGATGTAGAGATGTCGTTCGTGGATCAAGGTGGGATCCAGAGACTCATAGAGGGCCTCCTGCAACATTGCTGGCCTGAGGAGAAAGGCCCCATTACCACTCCCTTCCCCTCCATGACCTATGAGGAGGCACTGGCTGACTATGGGACTGATAAACCAGACACTCGCTTTGGCATGAAGGTGAGGGATTAACCAGTGGAAACTTGCAGCTTTCCCCCTTCTTTCTGTTGGTGTTTCTGAGTATATTCTGTTCAAATCACATCTATGTGCTGTCGTCAGCTGGGATTTTTAATGCTGTAACATACCCAGCTTGTTTGTCCCAACCCTGCTGCTTTGTACAGATGTTCGCAGAAAAAAGAAGGGTTTGATATAGGGCTGTTGGAAAATGGATCTTAGAACTTTTTAAAGGTAATTTAGTGTTAGGAAGCAATCATTTTGGCTGTGCTAGGAAGAGAAGTCCCACAGATACCATAAGCATTTTTATACATTTTGCCCCAAAACATGTTGCTCCTAGGGGACATACTTTGAGCAGGCTTCTCTGAGCTGACGAGTGCCCTGTGTTAGTGTGCACACATGTGCAGAAGTATGAAATAGAAATACTGATAAAAGTATTAAAGAGGAGCAGTGCTGAAAAGCATCTTATATCTCCCTAGGAATTAATTTGGGAGATTTCCTTTAAAGTATATGGCTCCCTCTGTTGTGTCTTTACCTTTCTCTTGTTTCTTCCTGCCTCTCTTGCATTTCTTTTTGTCTGTGTATCTCTCAGGCTTCTAAGGGTTATTCCAGCTTGGCTCCATTCCTTTTTTTTTCTGTGAATCCTGTGATTTCTTTGAGCAAGTAAATACTGTCCCAGGCAGTGGTGTTGAAGGAGTTGCAAGACACAGATGCAGGATTGTGTGTTGTGTTCCTGTCACTACTGTGCTTTTTTCCCCACTCAGATAATGGATATCAGTGATTTCACACGAAATTTGGGCATTCCCTTTGTGCAGAATGTGCTCGGTTGTCCGCATGGCACTGTCAAAGCCATTTGGATCCCTCAGGGAATGGTAAGTGATATTTTTACTTGTGGCTTATGATTTATGTAAAAACAATAAAATAAATAGCTATCTTTCTTGATATGACTGTGTCCTTTGCTGTTGATTGTGATTGAGCTCAGGCTTGGCTGAGGTGCATTAAGTGAGGGGAATGGGGAAGATCAGGTGATGGAAAGAATATTTTTGTCCTCTAGAAGGCCAGCAAGAGAACAGAGCTGCAAGGTCCTTGGGACCCAGGGAGGCCTCTCTGGCTTCAGTTTGCTTTCACCAGAACTGGCTTCTGTCTTACATCTGAAAAATAAATTGCTCTGTGGCAAGAGATTAACAAGTTGCAAAGTGTGGCACGGCTTGTTTCTGGACTAGGGAGAGAAACGGGCTGCTTCCATGCCACTGACTCCCTTTCGTCGTTTTTGTGGGCATGACTTGTGTCTTGTAATGAGAATGCCAGAGAGCAAATCCAAGGCTGAAAGCCTTGATAGATCCAGAAGCTTCTTTGGCAGCATCCACGTATTCTGGCAGAGAAGCAGATGTGATTCTGGCTCTAGATGTCTTTGCAGCGTGAGCGCTGTGTTTTATTTGGGGAGTAGGGCTGTCTGGCCATGGATTTTCTGAAATTGCTGCACTTTGGCAGCAAGTGCAATGTTTGGGCTTCCCACGAGAGGGCACTAAGCTGCGCTTTGAGCAAGGCGAAAGGGAGCTCTTTAGCTGTAAATATTGTAGTCAGGATGTTGGTGTAGGACCTCAAACCTACTGCATTTCTATGCATCTGAGGGTCAGCTCAGTGTTTGGTTTTCTTCCTCTTGTTCCTCCAGTTTGAGCCATGCCTTGTACATGGACAGTGCATTAGTCCTGCTCTGTAACCTGCATGCAGGACACAGTTAATTGGCAGGATCTAACTCTGCTGAGCAGCTATGTCTGATCCATGAGCAGGGGAAAAACAGTCTGTATTTGATGTGCTACCAAAATTGCCTCTTGCTGAAAATCTTTGGAGAAGATACTTGGCTGCAGTCTAGTGCTGCAGCCCTTTCTTATTCTGCAGCCCTCTTGTGTTGGAAACAGAGCTTCAAAGGGTTGGAAACAGCTGAGTCTCAGTAGATTTGAATCGTAGCCTGACTTTTCACAGACTTTGCTGATGTTTAATGTCTCTTCTCTCACTCTTTTCTTAGAGATACCTTAAAAATAAAGATATCGAGTCATTAAAGGAGGCTGCAAGATCCCAGTTTAACCAGGTGAGACAAACTCTGCTGAAGCATTGGAAAGAGGGAAGGACAGGCTGTGTAAAGTGTTATGCAATTGCAGGCAGAAGAAGACAGAAGAGCAATCTTTAATGTAAATCTTCTGCCGAGCACCAGTGCAGAGCTTATGATGCTTCAAGACAAGAGAGGGCAGCACTGAACTGAAAGTGTTGCTTGTCTTTACTGATTTCCTGCATTAGGAAATTGTGGATATTGTCTGCAAGCCAGATGGAAGCTTGAAGTCTCTGCTTACAAGGTTTCTCAGCCAGGAGCAGCAGTCAGAGCTCACCCAAGTGCTGAAGATGCAGGAGGATGACGTGGTCCTGCTGGCAGCTGGAGAACACAAGCGAGTGGTAGGATGTGCTTCTGGGTGGCTGGGAGCTGAGTGTTGCTCATGGTAGCTTTGGTGTTATCTCTGCTTACTCTAATTCTTCTAACTATGAAGAAAGGTCCTCAGAAGTTCCACATTGCTCTGGATCTGAAGCTGTAGTAACAGTAAATAAGGCATGAAGTGTAGCTATGGCTTCCACCTCTCCTGGTCAAATTCTGCAAAGAAATCATAGGTGAAACGAAGGCTGGGTTGTAAAACATGATCGCGTCAGTGCCTCATTTTCTCTCACCTCATGTTATTTTTTTTTTAAACCTCCACCAACAAAGATTAGAAAAGAAAGTCGACTAGGCAACTTTTTTTCCTATAAGCAGAAGCTCTTACCTTTGCTTTTGCAATTAATCTATATTTGCATAGTACAGAGAGATGAGTGTAAGAGTTCTGTGAGGATGGAACTTTTGTGGGGGATTTTCTAGCTCTCCACTTGGCCTTTCTTTGTAGGGCTTTAATCCTCTGTCCCAAACTGGACCTCCTGCAGCCTCAGTGGGCAGGTGTGATGTCCTCTAGGAGAGGAGGAAAAAGTGTTTTTAAGGCAGCACTGCAACTGATGCTCTCCGTGATGCTGCCTTTCAGGAGGAACTTTCCCTGGTTTGTTTGACTCCCTGGAGTTTCTGGCATTAAAATTGACCTTTCTTGTCCTTCTCTTTTGCAGTGTTCTGCTTTAGGAAGCTTGCGGTTGGCGAGCGCCAACCTCCTGGAGGCAGCTGGCCTGGTGCTCCGTGATCCAGCGGCATTTCACTTTCTCTGGGTGGTTGATTTCTTTTTTTTTTTGGAATCTGCTCATCATCCCTTCACTGCCCCCCATCCTTCAGATATGGGCCTCCTCTATTCAGATCCCACAAAGGTAACTGAACCTCATGCCCTCCTTACTGGTCCTTGTGATGCCTGGACTTGGGTTCAGGTTCTGATTTCAGCCTGGGTGCAATTTTCTCTTCAAATTGTGAAGTGAAAGCTGTAACGGGCTATAGAGGATGTGCCCCCATGATTTCTTACATGTTTGTGCCTTGGTGAGTATTAGAGCTGCAGCTCTTCTGGGGCTGGATGTTCTCAATTCTGGATGTTACAGGACACCAGGAAAGTAGTGTTTGAGGAGACTTAGTGAAATTTGTCACCTCTAGTGGAATCCAGTAAAGAGTTTTCTCGTCTTCAGTGCTTTGAATCTCTTAATAAATTCCTGTTAATTCAAAATGCTCCATTAAGAAACCTGTGTTGTTGTATATCAGGTTCCAACCTTTGCTTTCCGTGTGCAGATTGGAGTTAAATGTAGCCATGCCTTGCCAAGATGCCTGCTCCTTGCTTTCCTCAGGTCCGTAGTCAGCACTATGACCTTGTGCTAAATGGGAATGAAATCGGCGGTGGCTCCATCCGAATTCATAATGCAGAGCTGCAGCGTTTTGTGCTTGAGAAAGTGCTGAAGGTAACAGCCTTTAAATATCATATGGTTGGAGATGTAAAAGACAATTTAAATAGTCATGTAAAATCCTGCAAGAAACATGGGTGTTTTACTCGGATAAAGAAACCTCTCCGTGAGGGATGGATGGCTTCATTGTGTCTTCATTTTACAGTGCTAGCAGGAAAAGCATTGCTTTTTCAGTGACACTTTTTATGTAACTTTGCAGGAGGACTCTGAAGTGCTTTCCCATCTGCTTGATGCTTTGGAGTTTGGAGCTCCTCCTCATGGAGGAATTGCTTTAGGTAGGTGCTCTGTAGCTCTGCAGAGTGCAGGTGTCTGCTGACTTACTTCTGCTGTAACAGACCTCGGCAAAAACTGTTTGTTAGCAAGAGCCTCGTCTGCTCCCAACAGAGATAACTGTTCTGGTGTGCTGTTTGTCATGACCAACCTGGTTAGTCTAAACTGGAGCTAAACTGGCAGTAAACATCTCCTGCCAAAGAAAGACTGTTTTTTTTTTTTTTTTTTACGATGGATTGATTCGCTGATCTGGCTCCATGTGGGCCTGAGGAATATTGGGGCCAACACAGTGGGGAGGTAGACCCCATAGTCAGAGGGACAGGGAGAAGACAACAGTGTTGGCTTAGGCTGTTGTGCCATCCTCTGAAGTCTCAGCATTACTGCAGTGTTGTATGTTTCTCCCAGAATCTTGCAATTTTCTTTTTTTCTTTTTTTTTTTTTTTAAGGTAATCTTTTAAGTTAAAATCATTCTGGGTCATCTGTTCATCTAGTCACGCAGAGACTCTTGCTTTTTCTGAATTTCTCCTCATTGTTGTAACTCTTTTTAGCCAAGAAGTATTTTTGGACCAACTCGACAGAGCCCTGAAAATGTTCCTGCCATTTACCTGCCCTGCATCATTCCTCTCTGTGAAGGAATTGTCTGAGTCCTTGGTGTTTCACAAATTTTATTGTAACAGTGAAAAGCTTTTATTTTGCTGGGCATCGCCACTCTCTAGGAAATCTGTTTCTCTGCTTACGATTTGAGATCAACTTTTCCCCTTATCTGCTTCTGTCTTAATGTTCAATCTCAATGATATCATTTACTTTCATCTTCCTGTTTTTGGAATGAAAGGGAGTAATGTAAGGCTTTTACTCAAGTGGTTCAGTAATTTGTTGTCTGCTTCCAGGACTTGACAGGCTGATCTCTCTCATCGTCGGCGCTCCAAGTATCCGAGATGTCATTGCTTTTCCCAAATCCTTCAGGGGACGGGACCTGATGGGCAGTGCTCCAGACTACGTCACTCCAGAAGAGCTCGAGCCGTATCACATCCAGGTTTCCTGGCCTGTTGCAGAAGCAGAGGCGAAGAAAAACTGACTTAAGCCAGTGATGGGAGGTGGTTTGTGAAACCAATGATGGGTTTGACTGCTAAATTCTAGAATTTAGTTCAGAAAACACCAGCTGATATTGGAGAGTACAACCCCACTACACCATGACTTTGTGCTTCAGAATTGAATGGGGAATAGATGTGAGGGCTCCCTGATAGAGATTCACCTAAACCCTAGGTAGTGGGAAGGAGAAGTAAGAAAGCAGAGCAGAACCACCTCATTTTAGCATAGGCTATTGAGAGAATTGGCTTTTGGCTCTTATTTTGGAGTGGAAGTGAGATTTTTCTTTTTTTTTTAACCCATCACATTTTACATGTCCTGTGTGAAATATCTCGCCTCCTATCTAGAGGAGATTGTGTCAGCTTCCCTTGGGGGAAAAAAGAAATTTTCTTCTGATAGTCATCAAATCTCCCAAAGGAGAGGACTGTTTGAACAGAGCAGTACTGTGCTGGCCCAAGAGCTTAACAACCCTTCAGTACAGCCAATAACTTTTCACTTGCTGGAAAGTACAAGATTGTCTTAAACTTGTTATGAGGAATCTGTCTTTTCAGGTGTGCTCCCTAATCAAAGCTGGGGGAGGGAGCATGCAGAGCACTTGCATCAGTTGTTCATGTAACACTCATGGAACAGGAGGTGACCTGTCTTTGGGGCCTATGGTCCTGTTTTCAGAATGCTAGTTCTGCAGTTTGTACATTTGTAAATAAAGCTAATTTGGCCATATGGTTTTGACTGAGCTTGGTTTGCACTTCTTTGCTCTTTCTGCCAGTTCTTTATGACCCCGACCCATCAAGGAAGTGACAAGAAATGAGTGGCAGCTTAGCAGGATTGGCAGTTTTATGAATTTTACCTTCTGCAAATCTGCAGCTAAAGCAGTGAGTGATGCAGCAGCAAGTCCCTTGCAAACAATGATCTACAGTCTCTGTCCTGCAGAGGTGCAGTGCAGAAGCAAGGTTGGACTGAGTAGATGGTGGGCTTTCAAAGATGCCAGTTCACATCTGTTCTTAACTTGTGTTGCTTGTAGGTGGGAGTAAGCAGAGAACTGAAGGGAGGGACAGAGGGAGGCAGAGCAGGTGAGAAGAGAAGCATGACATCACCTGAATAAGCTAGCAAGATGCAGCAAGGAAAGAGAAGGGCCGAGCCACCTTGTCCCAGCTAGGAAGGACAGCAGGAGGCCATGGAAAATGCATGAGGACATGGTTAGAGGGATGTCTACACGTCTGAGCTGATGGTGGACTCTGGCCTGCTGCAGGAGATTGTATCTTGTAAGTGTTGACATGTTTGGGGCTGCTCTCGGGGTGTTTAACTAAGTTCACTGGTTACTAGTGTAACCAGTGCTGCCTCGAGAAGCCTGGTGATGTGAGTGCTCCTGGGGCTGAGCTGAAAGCTAGATGCCAAAGCAGGTCCCCACCAAAAGTAATCTTGCTTTAGAAAAGTGAAAATAAGTTTTAGATGAGACACTGCCTGGTATCTAGCACTGAAGCTGCGTTGATACTGATGTTGTACTAGACCCACTTCCAAAATGTTAGTTGTTAATGGTAGTTTGCAAAAAAACAATCTAGTAACAGGCAAAAAGCTCTTGGATATTATCCACGTAAGTAGTTTTGTAAAGCAAGTGTTTTTTGGCTGAAGAGCAGGCTGTTTATAAATGGCAACAGATTTGAAACATACAGGTTTGATCAAAATGTTCAGACACTTTATTAGCGTTATACCAGAAACTTCATTCCCTTCTCCTGCCAGTGATAACAGAATGAAGTCAGAAAAATGGTATATTGTATTCAGGCTGCTTTTTCACGGGAGGGTAGACTTATTTGGATTTTTTACTGGTAGTGAGAAAAAAAAAAACAAAAGTGGAACTTGCTTGAGGGTGATTATTTTTTTTTCCCTAACACGGGGATATTGGACTCTTCTTTAAGGAGACAAAAATCACAGAAAACCACTGTTCTTTGTCTGTTTTCAGAAGTCTTCACTCCTCCAGACTATTATTTATAGTAAGTGTAAACATAATGTGTGCAACTTTTTATTCTGAGATAAGGGCTACTGCATCATTTGGTAAGTAACCATTTACAAAGACAAATTCTGTTTACATCTGAAAAGTGCCAGTTTCTTAGAATTATTCTCAAGTGTTAAACTGTTAACAGGGTAACTGCTGCACTAAGAGGCTTTGATGGAAATGTAATAGTGCCTGGAACATTCTGGTCAAGGCCACTTGTACAATGTGTGAACAGGCTGACTCAGACACACGCATCCCTCCCGTGCAAGCTGTTTTCTGTGATCTTTGTTTACCTTCTGCTGTATTAAGGACTCATTGCAATTATAAGTATGTGACACAGCTGCCATTAGCTGCAACGTAAAACTACAACAGAACCTGTCATCTGAACTTACACAGTTCTGCCACAGCTGGGTCAGTGCAGAAGATGAATCTAAAATTCATGCAAGTGATGTGAGCTGGGGTTTGTGGATGAAGGCAGGTGACATGTCATGTGTGCCACAGGCTTTCACAGTGCCCTTGTGCTTGCACCTGCCTTTCTTTCCACTCTCCCAGGCAAAACTGGGGAGACTTGTTGCTGTCAGGTATGTTAGAAGATACAAAGTCCTGCACTCATCTGTTAAGGGTTAATCTTTAACAGATCTTTCTGTTAGAAGTGGGGTGTGGAAGAAAAGATGGGGAATCTGTATTGCTGCCTGGTTTGGGCATTTGAGTGTTTTTTCTTTATTTCTTTTTTTTCTACCCCATGCAGTAGAGGTTTCCAGACTCAGACAAACTAGCAGTGTCCATCTGCTTAGCAGTTTGGGAGGCCAAAATATTTATTGTATATGTATATATGTGTGTGTATGCTTACATATATATTTGTGCAAAGAGCAACAAGTACACAATTAGCATGCAGAGCTCTCCTTTTCCTTCTTCAGCATGTTTCAGTAAGTTTGCCTGGAAATCCTTCTATTAAGTATATCCCACCTTCCTTTGTGACACTAGAGGTAAGTTTGCAATGTGAATTAGTATTTTTCCCCCTTTCAGAACAGCAACATAGCACCTTGGGGCGATTCTCAGCAGGCAACGTGTGCTCTTTGCTGAAAAGCTTCCCAGTTAGGGAAGCTGGGAAGCTTTTGATTTCAGCTGCCTCAGATGGCTCAGGTAGGTTTGGCTGCAAGGGTTTGGCATCAACCACCACAGTGATACCTGTTTTCAGAGTTCAAACTGAAGTTTAATCTTCGGTTATGCTGGCATCTACCATGTCTAGAGTTAGTTCAATTATTACAGCCTTTCACAGTGGTTTTGTATAATCCTGGAGTGCAGGCAACCAGGCTGAGGGTAGCCCAAGCTGCTGTAGCAGCTACAAGGCTGCTTGTGGGATGGCAAATTTTGCCCATGTTCGCTCAGTGCTGCCTTGTAGATGTGTCTGCTTTACTAGTTGTCCCTTTGGCCCTTGTGCTCAGAGCAGCAGAAAAGGCACCGCTAACTGGCAGCCTACCAGCTGGAGATCCCCCATATAGGCTTTCTATGAACTTATCTCTGAATGTTTGGACTTGTATTTGAGGTTTGTGTTCTAGCTTGTCATTTTTCCCAAGCCTTGTTTTGTGTAATTAACAATGTTGCTTGCACGCAGTCCCCAGCTGTGCTGGCCCCGTTCACAGCAAGCAGAGCTCTGTGACAGATTTACTCAGCCTCGATGGGTCACATTTGCTTCTAATGACACCATCATGTTCCAGCTTTCTTGTCATGTTTTGGTGGCCTTTGTGTTTAGCGTAATGCTTAGAATACTGCTGGAAAGGGTGCATTATGGACTGTTCACCTATGCATTAGCTATATATCGTGTGATCATTTAACCAGGTACCTTCCTGCATAGGTTATTTGAAGGAATGAGTACAGAAGCTCCTGCTACAATTTCCATCTTACTTGTCACTTCACAAACTCATGTACTCTATTTCCAGTCATGTCCGTCTTAAGCTGCAGAGTTTTAAGCTGTTTCCTTTGTCTTCCTATGGAGATGACAGGATAACTCCTATGTTACCATCAGTTACTTTCTGTATACTCATCTACATTTGAAGCGGCCAAAAATGCACATTTTTGTGGGTTGTTTGGAGTATTTCTTTTCTCATATTGCCACTTTGTATTAATTATCCCTTGTTTTTTACTCACTAGCACATGAGTGTTTTGGATAACTTCATTTTTGGTTAAAAAACTATTATACTGTGCTTCAGGCTTCACTTGTTATTTGGAAAATAACAATCCAATGATAAGAGTCTTTCTGTTGATTATATCTTCCAGTATTTTGAAAGACCCCAGAACTTTATCATCACTTTTATCACAGCTCTTTTGGTTTTGGATTCAACAAAAGCGGTGGGAGTGTTAATTCTCATAAACTATCCGCAGATGCAGCAGCCCATGACATGTACCCAAGTTGCAGGTGTGCGCCAACAAAGTAAATTATATAAAAGCATTTCTAGGAACAGTTAGTACAAGGGGAATACAATTGCAGTTTTCTCTGGATCAACACACATTCTGCACTATTGGATTTTTTTTATATTACTCTCCATTTAGGGAGTGATAAATTTAAAATAAAAATACTCCCAGTCCTGACAATGTTACTTGTTTGCTTAGCAGCTCGAAGAGAATTGCAGGTGAAGCCTCTAGCTCTTTGGTGGTGTCCCTTGAAACGCAGGATCCTCATTTGCCATCTATTCAGCTCTTCTTGGCATTAGATGTTTGCCTTTTGTGCATAAAGAAAAAGACATCCAGTATTATTTTGTAAAAGAAAAACCTTAAATCGTTTTGTAGCCTGAGCAGAATTAATTTGACAGCAATTACAGCGACAGGGCTCGGAGTCGAATGTGCCACGGGACTCTAATCATTTTTTTTCCAGTTCCTAAAGCATCACTTATTTTCAGTGCAAAACAGCAATGTTGGGAGCGGAGGGGATGGGGGTGTCTCCTCGGCAGCGCAGCTCCCGGGAATTGCGGCCACCCTTGTTCAAGGTACAAACACCTCAAAGAGCAAATAGGGCAGGGGGACAGATGACGGGTTGTTTTGCTCCCTCGGGGTCACACAGTGTCTTGTCCCCGAGGTAGCAGTCCAGTAATGTGACAGATTGGGGAGAAAGCTAACGCACTGCCAACCCCTGGTATCCCCCTACAAGGGAAGAAGCCTACAGTCTAATTAAAAGATACTGCCATGTACAGAGTAAAATCTCTTAAAAACGATTTAAAAACATTAGGGCTTGATTCGGATGTTTAAGATGTCTTCTTGTAAAACCCCCAATGATTTTTTTAAATGGGAAGAATATCAGGCTGTGAATTCTCATTTCATATTTTCGCTATTATTCTAGCATTATCAAAGGCAGATCCAGCAAATCTCATAGACTGGTTAAGAGAGAAAATGAGAAAGAGAGAAAAAAGGGATCCTTTTAATGTGAGGGTTTTAATTTTAGCAGAGTTGCCACAGAAGTGCCCAGTACCAGTCTCTGCCCACTGTTACATTTGGAGAGAGTTTACTGGTTTTACTATAGGTGCAGGGGCAATGTGAAGAAAATACCTGGCACTCTGTATTGTCAATTTCATTAGAGGAAGAGTAGATAAATAACAATGAATATATAAAGCCTTGAACCCAGACTCGCCAGTTAAATCAGTGCATTGACTAAATAATGAATATAGAAAGGGGAACTCTGTAGCCAGGATGACCTTCAGCCGGTGTGACGCTTCTGAAATGCCCTTTCCTAGAGTTTATCAACTTACCTATTCCAACAGAACAACGTTTTGGTCAAACCTAAGTAGTGATTCTGCAGCTTCCCTTCCTTGTTTTAACTGGGATTGATCTTTGGATCCACCTTGCTGCACAGTCTCCTGACAAAAAAAGTTGTATTCTCGACTCAGAAAGGGTTGCTCTTTTAAATGGAACTGTACTGTTCACAGGAAGGACAAGGTTCAGTACGTAGTCTTTTTAGTATAATTTACCTATAAATCTGCTAAAGGGAGTGTAGTTACTTCTGTGAGTGAAAGCAAGAGGGGTCTGTGAGTTCATGCAGCTTGTTCATGCTGCCATCTTGCGGCTCCTGTTTAGGGAATTTGAGAATACAGAGGGAAAAAAAAACTGAAAATAATGGAAGCCCATGAAGCAATTAGAAAATGAGATGCTCTCTAAACAGCCAGTGACACAGCTAGAACAGTTCCATGTATTTTCCTAGGCAATTGCCATTCCCTTTGTAATCACAAAACGAGCTGTCATTTTCTCCTCAGCCTTTTCAGGGTAATGTGAACCCAGTGCTAGAGTGTGTATTTATATGTATTCTTCCTGATTTTACAGATCTGACTATGGTGGGCAGTAATATGCACATAATCATGTAACACGCAATGAGAGAGATTTTTGTAGATTTTTAGCAAATTCACCTCAGAAATGAGGTTTAACGCGAGCATATGTCTATAATGCACCTTTGTGAATTAGGAGGTTGTTGAGCCTGTTATCTTGTACCATTATACTATGCAGTAGCATTATAATTGTCACCTATTAAGTTGCTGTTATCCCTGAAGGATTAGTAAAAAGGAGGATGAGCGCTATGGCCAGCGTGTGCCGAAGGCTGCGTCCAGCCCTGATGACACAAAAGGAGAGAGGAGGAGGAGGAGGAGGGAGGTGACTTGCTTAACTCTCCTCGCTTTCAACATTCAGGAGTTGAACATGACGCTGTTAAACAATAGGTTGTTTGTAACAGGGCTTAACACTTCCATGAAATCTCGGGCAGTGCCTGCGTTTCACTTGACCTTGTGTTTGAAGTGCTGTTTTATTTTTTTTTCCATTTTTTTCCCCCTTCCTGGAGCCAGAATTTCTCATGCTAGTGTCTTAGATTTCTTGGTGGGCAACAAACCCCGATTCCCTTAGTTGCTACAGTCCCAGGAACTGATTTCCTGGTAATTCCGTGGCTGTTTGTGGATCTGCTTTTTAGGGCACAGCTTTTCCTTAACCATCACTTATTGTAAGGCTGTCAGGCAAGGGCTTTTGTGACTTTATTGACAATCTCTTGCTGTTGTCTAATTTAGATACCTGTTTTATAAAAGTTCAGACTGATATCCTAAGTGCACATCTAGAAATATATATGCGTATATATATAAATAAACCTTTTCAAATACCATTGTCTTTAGACAATATCTAGTCCATATTTTCCTCGCTTTTCAAGTGGCTTTTGGATGCTGAGCCTGCATTATAAACCAATTAATCTTGCTGCTGTTGTGTAACTAATCTTCCCACCTTCTAAATTTCTCCCCCTTTTTGTGTTAATAGCGCCTGCAGCTCTTGTGGTTGCATCTCCTTTCAGGCACAGGCTCTAGTCTGCTAGTTTAGCATTTGAAAAAATCCGAGCCTGCACAGATTGGCATCGCTTAGCTTTTGCTATTTGTCATTTACAGTGTTTGATGTAATCCCTGCTTCTCCACAGACTTGTCTTTATGTATTTTCCACTTGGGTCCGTATGCAAATCCTGTGCTTAAGTTTGGAGGCTTTTTGCCTTGGCAGCGCCGGCGTCATTTGCCGCATACTCATCCTTCCGCTGCACCTTGAGCACATTTCAGATAACAGATATTTCCTTTGATTTGCTGCTGGCTGAAGGCAGAGTTTCTGTTGCAAAGCATTGATTTTTTAAAGATGCTTTTGAATTGTCTTTCTCTCTATTGATTTTTTCTAATAGTTACCAGTGGGTTTTTTTATTGTAATTTCTCTACTCCTTTGGTAGGTGACGTGTTTGGACTCTGCTGCATAGCTTGCATTGCCAAATATGTGAGGCTTGTTTTTTTTCTTTTTTTTTTTTTCCCCTCTTTCCCCAATCAACTAGATCTTTATTCTACATTTTGGCTTCTTCCAGGTCACCTAGCTCAGAACTTGACTCCTGAGGAACAGAAGAGGACCTTTGATGGCAGCGACCCAAAGGGCCCCTACCAGCTGAATAACTGTATTTCTCCCTTTATAACCAGAGGATTAGTTTATCTCTCAGCCTGCAGGGCAAGTACTTTCTGCTTTGTCACAATCCCTTAATGTAAGAAACGCTTTTGGTAACTGATGATCTGTTCTTTCAGTAGTCCCAGTGAGCACCACAGATGAGAGGGCCAGCCCTTTCCTACTTTCCTTGGTCCTCCTCTTACCACTATAGGACGTGTGGAGTAATCATGGGAAAAGAAATATTTATTGAAAAGATGTCAAAAAGGCCAAACTGTTTATTTTTCCCCCATACTTTATTATAAAGCCCAAGAGGAAAGAGGTGATTAGGACTGCTGGTGATAGTGAGAAAATAGTGAGTTCTCTGCTTAGACTCGAGAAAGAGGATGTTCAAGAGTGTTCTTGGGAAATCAGGTGGTTTCAAACTGTCTAGGGGTCAGGAATTTTGTTAAAGAACCAGCAAAAAAATGGTTTTGGAATCATTTGTGGTTATTTTTCACAATTTACAGTGGATAGGTGAGGTGCCCGAGTGCTATAAAGGCCTGGCAATACCTGTCCCTAGAAGGAATAAAAACCAGGTCTGGGTAAGAAAGATCAGTAAAATTTTTGTTTACAGATTAAAAACCAATTCTGAAACAAAAGCAGTCTGGAAGAACTTGGACAAGGAACAGACCATGGGGGTTTGTTGATGAGAGTCATGTCAAGCCATAATAGTTATCATCCTGTGACAAGGGAAAAAGGTCTTATGCTAGAGGAGAACACAGTACCTGGCAGCATCTAAAGTCTGTTTGGCATAGTCTGTGGCAATCTAATGATGAGGTTTTTAGACTTGTAGATTTTAAATGGTTGGATAACACTATTCAGAGAAGCATTTTTTGTTATGCCTGAGAGAGAGGGAGTATTTCCAGGTGCTTGTCCTGGGAGCATTCCCTTCAAACTTGTTTGTGAACAGAGAATATAAGTTTATGCATTATTTAGTTAAAAAAAATAATAGTGTAGATATGGTAGCTGGGAGAATCTGCAGGCTGTTAGGAGAGGAATAGGGTGAGAATTCCTATCTTGGTAGATAAATTGTCTTGGAAAAACTAGGATGCTGTGCGGTAAGTGTAAATGCAGGCTCCTTACCACAAACCCCAGTTGATGACTGGCTGTTCTGCAGCAGGCACTACTGGTGTTTGTACACATGTCAAAAAAGTCCTGATGTGAAGAAGCAAATGCTCTCAAGGAGCAGTGCAGGCTGCAAGACGTGTGCTGCAGTGTCTCTGTTGTGCTCAGCACGGGGTGGTCTCAGCTACAGCGCTCGATTCTGGGTTTGGAGCTGTGCCCTTGGAGAGGTTGTGTGTGCAATTCCGTCGTCATCCCAGATCTGTGCCTCTGCACCAGGGAAAATAACACTGCTTCTTACCTCATCTCTTGGACGTGAATGTTTGTCACTGAAACAGCAAGTCTGAGTCCCCCCTCTGAGATCAGTGATGGGGGAGGCTGATGTGAGAAAGTTGTCTCAGAAAGTTGGGTTCTCCCTTGAGTGTCACGTTTGGTCCTCTTGAAACTTCATTTCTGATCTATGTCGAGCTGATAGAAGAGACCTGTTGTCTTGGTGCACTTTGACAGTTAGTTTTATTTTTGGGTCAGCCTGTCTTGTCTAGTAGATGCTGATATTTTCCAAGAGGGCTACTGAATGTGTTGCTTCAGTGACAGACCCAGTTTTTCCAAGAGATGTGAACTCCTACAGTCTCGCCAGCTGAAGTGATGGAAAACTTGTTTTTGTCCATAAAGATTGTCTTTATAATGGCTGAAAAGGAGCAAGACAGGCATTCAGGTAGCTATGACAGTCCCTTCATATATACATACACAGCCACATGTATTCTGTATGCATACACACACATAAGTAAATACATTTACACACATGCATATATATATGTATATATATATTCAATCTCCTTGCAGATTTCACATACAGTGAAGGCAAGTAGCCTTTAAAAGCCCCTAGGTCGTGCATTAGGATGCTTGCACACTCCTCAGATATCTAAGCAATCTTTGCTGGCCTCCCTGTGTGTTTTCTGTAGTACTGCCAATATTGATGTTTTTCCTCTTGAATTTTTGAGCTACTAGCTTTTCCTGTCAACAGTCCTGTAATTCTTTCTGTCTTAGGGGTGCCTCTCTTTTGGGGCCTTTTCCACAGTTTAGCAATTTCCTTTGCCAATTTTAGGGAGCTGGGATGCCTTGGAGCTGGGTGTTGCATCCTTGGACACAGCTGAACCCCTTGGAGAGGAGGCGAGTGGTTGCAGAGAGAGGATTGCACCAGCCCCAGGCTTGGAGGCGTTAGCAGGGCTGGTATCAGGCAAGTAGAGGGTTAGGCTGCCTGAGCGGGGAGCGGGGTGATGTAGAGCCAGCCTCAAGAACCAGAGGCAGCCCCATCTCCCCACAGGTGTCAGTTTTGGGGGTTGCTCTGGCTGCTTTCTGGGCCCCTTAGGTGACAGAGCTTCCTGACGGCTCCCATGTGTTTGGAATGGACTTTCTGCTGCCTTGCCAGGCTGCACTGATGGAAATCTGAAGCAGGGATTAACCAGCAGACGCTTAGTCGAAGCTGGCATGCGGTTTCCAAGAATGTAAGCCAGTTCACAGGGTCAACTGGCTGGAGTGTGTTTGTGTATCCTAGCCGGTGTCATCAGAGCATCTAAATACAACAGTCTCTGTGCTGGAGTGAGATGACTGGGTTTTCTTTAGCAAGTAGTGCTCAGGTCACCCCATTTTCTACAGAGGGTGGAAACAGGCATTTTCTTCTTTAGAAAGCGCCGCAGCAGTTTTCCCAGATATTAGCTCAGTAACACCAGGGCTAAGTAAACAGCAACAGATGGCAAGTGCCCTGTTCTTGGGCACCACGAAGCTGGGGGCTGGCTCCGAAACGCGTTTCGCAGAGCCGCTGCTCACAGCGGGCGAGTGCGAGCAAGCAGCGAACTGCAGCCGGAGGAAATGAGGGAGCAGCAGGAACGTTGTTACATCCTCCTCCGACGTGATTAGGAGGGAGTATCGGAAGATGATGACTTACCTCCAGGCTCTGTCCCTCGCTGCATGAGCGAGGGTAAAGGCAGAATTAAGAGGGTTTTTTGTTGTTGATTCTTTCCCCAGAAGCCCTTTACTGAGAGTGCTGTTTCCAGGGGCATTTACTATAGACGAGAGAGAGGTGATCTCGAGAGCCCTTTCCCAGAAGAGCTTCCTGTTGTGGGATGCTTTAGCAAGAAACACTTTCTCCAGAGACTTTGCTTTCCCTCTGAAAATTGGTCTGTGCTGCAGAGCTGGTTTTGTCTGTGCTTCAAAGACTAATTTCTGACTCTTTGTCTGAAAACAGCACTTAAGACTGGCTATAGCCTCTGGTCTGTAGTTTTCTCTGTGACATGGTGTTTTCTCCTACTTCCCAGACTAGACTTTCAACCACACAGAAGTTACAAAACAAACACCCCTAATTGATGCCCTGGTTCAAAACTGTCTCTAGTTTGGACTCTGCTTAAAGACATTTAAAGCCCTGGGTCACCATCCTTTCTGAAAATCCTCCTCTGCTTTCAGACAGATGTCCAAAAACATCTGTCAGGATCTGTCAGTATCAGGGACTAGTGGAACCGGAGACCATGGAAGCAGCCCCAGTTCAGTGCTGTTTCTCTTGGTTACCCTGTGGGAGCAAAATTGCCAATTCTGCTATTTGCTAGCACAGCTTAGCCAGGTAAAAGGTTTCACTGGAGTCCTAGGGTCATAAATTCAAAGCTAGACAAGTATCAATATCACATTTCCTCCCAGCATCGCCAAGTGATGGTATCTAAAGCTGGAAAGCCTCGTAGAGTGCAGCGCATCCGAGAAATGTCTGAACCACCTGCTCTGTAGTTTCCATTTCCGAGGCTGTGCATTGCTGTATTCCTGGCCCAGTTTGAGCAGAGAGGGATGTGTGTGTGAGGGAGGAGGACTATCACGGCTGGGTACAGGTGGAGCTCGGCAAGGAGCAGGTGAGATCCAAGCCAGCAGCCTTCCCAGCCCGGTAGCTGAAAGATGCCCTGGGATTTCTTTATGCGCCAGACACTCGGTGTTTTTGTGAGCGTCCTGTCCACTCGGGGGATGTCCCCAAGCACAGGGGGGTGTCCCCGAGCACAGGCCTGGCTCTGGTGCCGTCCTGCACA